GTTAACTTGGGAGTCGGAGCGTGAGATGCGTGAGCAGCATCCGGAGTTATTCGCGGAGTGAAACTTCGAGGGCGAAGTCTAATTCTAGTGGGGGATAATTGTAACACCCCGGATTCCCAGGTATTATTTTTATTCTTTTATTTTTGGGTGATTGTGAGGAGACTCGGCGAGTTGGAGTCTAAACTCGCCGAGTAGGATCGCGGTTTTGTGCGCGGGTTCGCGTCTGGACTCGGCGAGTCCATGCTGTTTAATGAAACCCTAATTTCCAGGGTTTGAGACCTATTTAAAGGGGCTTATGGCCGTCATTTGCGACCACCAACCCCAGAGAGAGACCCTAAAGAGCTTTTGAGCGTTTTCGGAGAGAGAAGAGGCCATTGTTGACTTTTGAAGCTTGGTTTGGCAAGGCAAAGGAGATTCTAGCTAAGAGGAGGCAAGGGAGGTGGACATTCTTCGATTTTGGAGCTCAGAGCATCATTTTGGAGGTATATTTTGGTTCCTTTTTCTGTTGTTATGATGAACATGGGGGTTTCGGGTTTCTTGATCCCTTTGTTAGTTAGATTTGATGTCCATTTCATCCCTATTTGTGATGAGGCTTGAGATGGGATCCATAGAGGTCCAGAGAAGCTTTATTCCTTAAGCTTTATGAGGATTCATGGGAGTTTTGACCTAGAGTTTTGAGATATGGGGCTAAAACATCATTTAGGAGCAAATAGTTGTTGTTTGAGCACCAAGGTTTGGACTTTACGTGATTATCATGCTTGAGGAGGCCAGATCTATGATTATATGGAATAGATCTGACCTCATAACTGAGTTTGAGTTTATGCATGGCATGGACTCGCCGAGTCTGAAGAATAGACTCGACGAGTAGCATAAATTTTGCCCGTAACCACTCAGCAAGTGGTCTTGTCGAGTTGAGGGGTCGACTCAGTGAGTCAAGGAGAGTCAAGGGGAGGGACTGAGTCAAGCCGGAACTCGCCGAGTTGTTCTTGAGACTTGGCGAGTTGATTCATGGTGGCCCCACGATTTATGCCAGGTGAAACTCGTCGAGTCAGAGAAGTACTCGGCGTGTCAAGAGAGGATCCAAGGGAGTCAATGGACACGAATAGACTCGCCGAGTCGCTCTAGTGCACTCGTCGAGTCCAGTCAAAGTTGACCGTTGACCTTGTTGACCTTTAGGGTTGAGTTCAGTTGTATTTATGAGTGTATTACTTTGTGTGATTAGGCAGAGGCTAGATCACATTTATTCCGAGACAGATATTTACCGAGATACGCGAGGTGAGTCTTCTCACTATACTTTACCTTGAGTAGGTAAATAGAGTTATGTGATACAATGTTTTATATATATTGTTGTTGCACTGCATTCTTCTATGTGATTTATGTTGTGCATGCTTGCAGAGTTAGAACCTGAGGGTTCACAGAGTTTGGGTGCACGGACCCACAGAATTATAGCCTCGAGTGGCTAATATGTGTTATATGTGGTATTTTGGGGAACTCACTAAGCTTTGTGCTTACAGTGTTTTATGTTATGTGTTTCAGGTGCTAGTGAGGATCGCGGGAAGGTGCCGGCTTGATCAGTACACACACAGGATTTTTATGCTATGAGATCTTGGGATTGATATATGTTATGAATTGAGTTTCAAACAATGATGTTTTTATGATAAATAAATGAATTATGTTTTTATAAAATTCGAAATTTTTTTTGGAAATTTATGGTGTTACACTCATTCAAAGCCATTTCAACATTCTTTGGCTCAATTTGAGAGATAAAGCAAGAATAGAGACATGTACGAATGGACACAATTACATCACTTGACACATCAAATTTTCTAAAAGTAAAATCTGCATTTTTAAATTTGTTTTTCAGTGTGTCAAGCTCAGCAATTAACTCAGCAAGTTGTTCAGTCACAAATCCATAATTGGCACACTTATTGCTATAATCTTCTTGAAGTATTCTAAAATCATTTGTTTTTTCTTCTAATTGAGCTTTTAGAGGTTTCTGTCCTTTCCTAAGTTGACATCCTTCATATTTTAGGTCCTTGTTCTCTATATGCAATAATTCTATATGCTCAAGTAAATTTTTAACATTATCAATGCAAGTTTGAGAACACGAAGACCGACTTACCTCTTTCTTCTCAAGTTCTAGAAGAGAAGATACCATAAAGACAAACTGCAACTCCATCATCTGTTCTTCAGGATCAACCTCAACTTTCTCTTCTGGAGCATCATCGATTTGAGCAAAGTGAGCACTCTCAGGTCCTGAAATAGTCAGTGCTTGAATCTGGTCCTCCCATTCAAAGGACTGAGCAACCACTACCAGATTAGCAGTCGCACTATTGATAGCAGCACTTCCACAACTGTTTCCCATTGGTACCATTGTTCTATCATTGCTTACCCTTTTGTCTGGCTTTGGACACTCACGAGCAAAATGACCTGGCTCGTGGCAATTGTAACACCGAAGCTTGCCCTTGTTAAACCCAACCTTCTTTTCAGCATTCATTCCCCAGTTATTCTTTCCTGTCTTCATTGCAAATTTGCTTTTCCCTTAACACTGCCATCGCTATCTCCCAAGTAATATCCACTTCTTCCACATTTTCTGGATGAATTTGATCTAGATCAGCAAATGAGAGTTGAGGTGGAAGCTCTCCAGCTACAAAATGATTGTAGCAATTGGCAAGTCCAGTGGAAAGAGCTAAATTTTCATAGTTTTCTTTGGGATTGGGAGCAGGAACCATAATTGGTGCTTTGGAGGAAGAAGCAGTTTTTGGAACAACAAAAGGCTGACTTTGTGAACGAGACATAGATGATAAAGCAACAAATGGTGCAGCTGGTGGAGAAACAAAAGTTTGATTCTGAGGTTGTTGAACGGAAAAAGCTTGACTTGGATAGGAGGTAAAATATGAAAAGGCATTATTTGAATAGATCCCAAGATTTGCAGTTGAGTAGGAATTCACATGATTGATCTCCAGTTGCATATCATCAAGATCACAGGCTTTGATGATTGCCATAGTTTCAGCAAGACTGAGACAATTGAGATCTTTCGTTTTCTTGATGATAGTCACGTTCATATCCCATGCTTTCGGAAGTGAATTCAGCAGCTTTTGTATATCTCTGACTTAGTCACATAAATCCCGGCTGAACTCATTTCAGTGGTGAGTGTGATAAAACGTTGCAACTAGGCTTCTAGAGATTCTCCAAAAACATGATTAAACATATTGAATTTCTGTCTTAACATCTCTTTTCGACTCTGTTTCATGTCTTCATTGCCCTCATAGACCTTAATTAAGGCTTCCCACAATGCCTTGGTTTAATCATACTTTTTGAATCCTTGAGCAATATCAGGAGATAAAGCCATAGTTAAAGTAGCCAATGCCCTTTTCTGTTCTTCAACCTTTTCAAAGTCTTCATCAGTGTAATCAGCATACACTTTATCAATTATTTGTCCATTTGCAAGAGTAGTGGTGATTCTTACTGGTCCTTTGAGAATGCTTCGCCAAACCTTGAAGTCTTTCATCTTGATGTGTTTCTCGATCCGGTATTTCCATTCCGGGGACCCTTCTGCTAATAACAAGCGTGGAATGCAAGTGGTTGTCCCCATGATTCAATCTAATTCATGATGAATTGTTGGGCTTTGAGAATCCATTTTTGTTTTTTTTTTTTTTTTTGTGTTTTTTAAGGTTTTTTCTAATTTGAAATGACTTGAAAAAAATAAACTAAAACACAAAAAGATTAGTTTACGACCACACGTTTACGGCCGTAAACACAGTTTTCGGTTAGCTTTCCGGTTGAGGAGTTTAAGGTCAAGATTTCGGTTGAGGAGGAGTTTACGGTTGAGATTCCGGTCACTAAAGATTGTCTGTTTACGGTTTCTACAGATTGCCTGTTTACGGTCACTGAAGATAATCTATATACGGATGTGAATAGGAGTTTATGGTCGTGAATAGAGATTTCGGTTATTGAAGATGATAGTTTACAACCGTGAATATGAGTTTACGACTATGAACTCTTGACTGTAAAGGCCCAGAATTTGATGAAAACACGAATTTTAAGCAGATCTAATCCCTTTTTGCCACGAAAACACCAAATCAAGCCTCGAACAGTGATGAAACTAAGCTCCTTTGACCGTGACTGTGATTGTAAGATGATTTGACACCGGATTTGCTCTGATACCAATTGTAAGGCCCTAGAAACAAGGATCTTAACCAGTGATCAAGCAATCTGACAATCAAACAAGATAAGAATGGAGTAGAAGAAGAATAAACCAAGCTTTGCACACATTTACATCAAAGAAACGTCGGGTACAACTTGGACACACACACTAATGATCGTAAACTTTGTGGATCATCAACAACTACTAATAGACACAGGCATACCCTATATATAGGGGAAGGCTGGCCGTAAACAGGTTTACGGCCGTAAACACACCTCTTGGCCGTAAACTCATCCAAAACACACTATTACATGATAAAAGACCCATTAAGACCTATACATAGATAACCTAGCCCAAACCATAAACTAGACCCTTCAAGTTCATTAGATCTTATCATTTGTCGTTTTTGGCACTTTTGGTCCATTTTATGGCTGATCTTGGAGTTGAGTGGACTCCAACATCTTTTAATTAGTTTGGAATGCTTCTTGGACCTCATGGACTAGGAAATTTATGATCTTTTGCCTTCTCTTTAAGCCATACAAGTTCTCTTGCTCCTTTAGCTCATTTTTGGTGTATTAAAGTTTAGATCTTGAAAGTTTGTGGCATTATTATGCATAAAGTTGGAAAGTTTATCCATCTAAACATCATGTTGATTCATATCTAAAGGTTGGAGACTTTGGACTTAATGTATTAAGTTGAGAAATATGTATTCTTGGTCCCTTTGAGACTTAAAATCTAGATATTGGTTGTTTGGACCATTCTAATGGATAAAGTTGGAAAAATTATCCATTATGATGCTATTAGGTATCAGATTTGATGTTTTGAGTCTTGGTCTTTATGGATTAAGCTCTTCATGAAGGAAAATGGGCATTTTGCTAGAGACCACAACGTGGCCAAGAAAAGCCCACAACATGATGGTGCTTTTCCACTCGATTTATTTGTCCTGATTTGGCCACGACGTGGTAGTCCACTGAGTTGACTTTGTCAAACTTGGGTAGAATTAAATTTTTGGCTAAGGAATAGTCTAGGTTTGGCATTAGGTAGCTTGGGTTAGCTGTTTTGTCGTTGAGATATCTGTTAAGCTTCTGTTGAGTAGCTCAAGTGAGTCTTCTCACTATACTTTATAGGCTGCTAGACTATCTTTGTACCTTCGGCATGAAAGACCATGGGATAACCATGAAAATTGTATGAAAGATCATGAAAGGATCATGGCATTTTCATAAAAGACTATGAAATGACCATAGCATATGTATGAAAGACTATAGGATGACCATGACAGTCGTACGAGAGAGAGAGAGAGAGAGAGAGAAGTCACTTTTCCAGTTTGCCTGCCATGCTACAGGACACGTGTTTCCATGCCATATAGACTCCACATATACATTAGCGGACAACAAAATATTCAAAGTTGGAATATATGAGATTGATGATGACTGGAAGCCCTTCTTGACTCATAATTATGACAATGATATGGAATCATATGATGAAGATGATAAGGATGCCATCTCTGATACAATGATTGTTGAGGAAGAGAACAAGTCTGATGATATGAGTGACACGTTAGAAGAAGGAGAAATTGAGTCAGATTTCGAGTCGGAATGAGTCCCTGAATCACAGTGTGATGTGAATGCTCATGAAGCCATACAAGTTGAATCCCCGGTGGCGGCTCCGACAGACATTCTCGGTAGAGTGGGAGTCGAAGCAATCACTAACAACGGGAGACTGGAAAATCCGAATGGGGAACTGGGCCGGAATAAGGAAGAACAGCAGTCTCAAATTAATAGGACTACTCAAATGCAGGTAGATACGATGGAAGGTAGAGACATGACTGATGACGTGGAGCATGGGACCCCACAAATGTCCCTTAGGAAAATACATGAATTATTGCCAGAAGGTGGATTTTGACCTTTTCCAAATTTGGGCCCTAGAGTGAATAACGAGCCCAGTAATGTAAGGAATCTAGAAATGGATCCAAATGGTTCTTATCTTAAACGCAGGAAGGTTCGCCAGACATCATTAAACATAAATAATATCCCTCTCTGCCCTACCCACATATACGATCAAATAAATCACTAGGTCGCAGGTATGGAGTCGAGTAACTATTCCTCTCTCTATCTTAATTGAACCCCTCACAACGTTCCTTACCCATCTTAATCCATTAGAACCCCAACCATTCCCCATATCTCAGAAATTGAAAAAAACCGTTGAAATTGGTCCACTCATTGGATTTGAGATAAATGGAGATAATGAAATTTTGGTTGAAATCGCTGGTAAGGACGAAGAGCACGTTGCATATCAATGAAGTTAATGTTTGTTAATATAAGGGGAATGGGAGAATAGCATAAAACTTGACTGGATCAGGTGTTTAAGGCAAGTTAATAAAGTGGCATTAGTATGTATACAGGAAACGCAACTTCAACTGAGGGTGGAGGAATCAGCTATCACAAAGGGGTGGGGGACGAAAATTATGGCTTCAATTATGTTGAAGCAAGGGTTAAGTCTGGGGGCATCATTACTATTTAGGATAAGTCTTACTTTTTCTTTACAGAATCAGTCAAATCTCGATTCTTTTTAATGAATTATGGAGTATGTGAAGGTCCGGGCTTGAACATTTCCATTGTGAATATATATGATCTATAATCTATTACGGAGAAATGGTGTCTATGGGAGAATCTGTTACAACTAGTGAGATCAAGAAAGTCGATGTGGGTACTCATGGGTGATTTCAATGCAGTAAGAAGAAGGGATAAAAGAATAAACTCCAATTTTTGTTGTATCACAGCTCATGACTTCAACAAGTTCATTCAAGATAGCGGACTACATGAATTAAAAATGGGGGATTTAAGTTCATGTATTACCAAAATGCTGGTGCAAAACTAAGTAAACTGGATAGGATTCTTGTATGTCCGAAATTTTTATCAAAGTTCCCACAAGCCTCATGCACTGCTCTTCCCAGGGAACAATCTGACCATTGCCCAATTCTTCTCGAATTAAGATTGATGGATTGTGGGCCTATTCCATTTTGACTCTTTAATTCGTGGATTCTTCGACCAAAGTTTAATGAAGTTGTTCTCAGCGTAATATCAGAATTTAGAGGATACGGGCCTCCTAATCTATATTTTCTCAATAAATTGAAGTTCTTAAAAAACAAAATTAGAAGTTGTAAATTGATGGAACATTTAAAGGCAGCTATAGAGATATCAAAGATTAAAGGAAGTTTGATTGAACTGGATAAAAAGGTTGAAAGGAAGGAACTACAAAGTCCTGAAATTAAAGAATCGGTTGGATTATCCAGTAGACTTTTAGAACTGGAGAAAATGGTAAGCATTGATCTGAGACAAAAATCAAGATTAAAATGGTTGACAGATGGGGATTAAAATACCAAATTTTTTCATGGTTTTGTAAACAATAGGAACAGAAAAAAATACTATATACGGACTCATGCTAAATGGTCGGTGGACAAGTCAACCAGGCTTAATTAAAGATGAAGTATTTAAATTTTTTTCAACAAATTTTAAAGAGCAATGGAAGGCAAGACCGGAATTCATAAGTAACATATTTAAAAAGTTTTCTAGTACTAGCAGTGACCTTTTGGAAGGATATATATATCTAAAGATGAAGTGAAAAGGGTTGTATGGGAATGCGGGAATGATAAGGCTCCTGGACCGGATGGTTTCACTTTCAATTTCCTGAAAAAATATTGGGAGGTCTTGAAGGAGGATATTATTGCGTATGTGAAACATTTTGAGAAATTGGGTATTCTCTCTCGGGGATGTAACTCTTCGTTCATAACATTGGCGGCTAAGGTTAAAGACCCTCTATCCCTTGGTGATTACAGACAATTAGTCTTATTGTTCCATTATACAAAATAATAGCAAACATCCTAGCTTCAAGAATCCGTTTGGTGATGAGTGAATGTATTGATGAAGTTCAAACTGCATTCGTGGAAGGGCGGAATATTCTTGAAGGACCACTCATAGTTAAGGAGTTGTGTTCATGGGGGAAGAAGCTCAATAAGAAGATTTTTCTCTTCAAATCAGATTTTAATAAAGCTTTTGACTTGGTAAAATGGAAATATTTGGATTCTATGATGCAGCAGATGAACTTCGGAATAAAATGGAGTTCTTGGATAAAATGTTGTTTGGAGTCGGCAAGGGCCTCGATATTGGTGAACGGTAGTGCAACTGTGGAGTTTCAACTTGAAAAAGGAGTAAGACAGGGAGACCCTTTTTCGCCATTTCTCTTTATATTAGCCATGGAAGGGTTGAATATAGCATTAAAGGAAGCAGTGGTCAAAGGTGTCTTTCAAGGTATATCTATTCCAAATTCTGATATTAAAGTATCACATCTGTTCTACACGGATGATGCCCTATTCATTGGAGAATGGTCTAGCCAAAATATTAAAAACCTCACGAGGATTCTCAAATGCTTCCAAGTGTCTTCCAGCTTAAGGGTTAAATTTAATAAATCGAAAGTTTTAGCATAGGTGTTAATTCTCAAGATGTTGAAAATGGGGCCTTACCGTTAGGATATGAGCCTAGTACACTGCCATTCACATACCTTAGGATGCCAGTGGGGATGAATATGAACAGGAAAATCTCTTGGAACTCGATACTTGAAAAACTCAGAAATAAACTTTCTAGATGGAAGGCAAAGACCTTGAGTTTTGGTAGGAGGGTGACTCTAACAAAGGCAGTTTTGGGTAACCTCCCCACATTTTATTTATCGTTGTTTGCTGCTCCATCAGGGGTTATTGAGGATATAGAGAAAATAAGGAGAAATTTCATATGGGGAGGTCCAGAAAATGAATCAAAAATTGAGTAGGTGGCCTAGGACAGAATTATAGCACCTAAGGAGGTGGGTGGCTTAGGTCTCAGTTCCATAAAGGCTTTGAACCTAGCTTTGTTAGCAAAATGGAAATGGAGAATTGTCGACGAATATGACTCTTTATGAGTTAAGATCATCAAGGGTCTACACAATCTTGATATGATTTAGCCTAGTCGGATATCTTCCAGGTACCTAAGCGGAGTTTGGCAGAACAATGATAAATATAAAGCTATTCTTGGTAAATTGTCCATTGCAGACACGGAAGTGATTCGATGGAAACAGGTGGATACGGGATGGGACTCAGACTTTTTGTTTGATGGGAAATTTAGAGTCGCTGCTCTAAGAGGAATGATCAAGCAGGTAGGTCATTGGATACCTGATGGAGCCTTCATGTGGTGCAACTGGATCCCGTTCAAAGTGAGTTGTTTTGTGTGGAGAGTAAGGTTGGATCGGATTCCATCAGTGAATGCCCTTATTATGCAAGGAGTACAGATACAGAAATTAAACTGCAGTGCTTGTATCTCAGATACTGAGTCCACAGATCATATGTTGGTCACATGCCTGTTTGCATATACAATTTGGAGCCGGATTTGGAATTGGTGTGGTATCATGCTTCGCCAACTAACTAGTATTAAGGAGATCTTAAACTTTGTAGCAGATTGTGGACATCCCCCAAAAAAGAGGAGAAAAATGAACGCAATCATTTATGGTGCATTATAGGGTATTAGGAAAGCAAGAAATGATAGAATCTTCAACTTAAAATTTATCAGCCCGGATTTGGTGTTTGAAGGAGTAAAACGCATGGTTTATGTATGGATCAAACATAGATATAGGAAAGGAAATTGTATATGGGGAGAATGGACAAAATTCCCTTTCTTTTTTATGTAATTTAATGTAATATGTGACTCACACTAGTGAGTGTCTTGTAATAAAATTCTCGGTTCCAAAAAAAACATAATCCAAATATTCTTTTTTCAAATTGTATTTAAAAGTCAAACTTTAACATAATAACTGAAGTCAAATCAACAGATACCGATGAATCTACAACATGAATACATCTAGTCTATTTCACAAATCACAATTATACAAGTATATTGTATAATTAGCTTATAAATACAGAACTTAACAAAAAACAAAGAAACCCACCTTTTAACTACCAAATATATTAAAAACACTACACATTGTTCCATGCAAACTTACTTGTACATATTTGGTCTGATATAATCACCATATAATGAACGGGCTTGAAAAGTCGGGCCAATTTCCAATCGCAAATCATGGCAAGCCTGACCAAAACCCACATCCAATGTTGGGTCACGGGCACCCACATCCAATCTTGGGTCACGGGCACCCACATCAAATCTTGGATCACGGGGAGACAGACCAAAACCCACATTTGATCTTAGATCATTGGCAGACAGGCCAAAACCCACATCCAATCTAGGGTCACGGGCAGATGGGCCAAAACCCACATCAAACCTTGGGTCACGAGCAGGTGGGCCCACACCAACTCTTGATTCAAGGGCAGACAAGCCGGTTTCCTGGTAAGGGAAGGTGGGGACCATGCGAAATCGATCATCAAAAGAAGTATATGAACTAGAAAGGGATTATGTAACAAATTGACCAAATTGAGCTCCAAAAGGCCCAATGTGTTGTTCAATAGTCAAACTTAATCTAGAATCATAAGTAAAGAAGTTATTACTATTATTGTTAACTCCAGCTCCATATTCATAATCAATTGGTAATCTGAAAAGCCCAACAGAGCTGAAAGGAATACGAAATTTCTCCATGGATCTGTAGGCAGGAACAGAGGGACCATTTTGTAACAATGGAAAATTTTCAAGGGATCTAAGTGATAATTTAGCCTGTTAAAGTGCCTCAAAAATAGATCCCAATTCACCTGGATTTTCATCAACGTTAGTTTCATATGACTTATTACTTGAAGTTTCTTCACATTTATCCAACAAGCTACTATTTTGAGAAGATGACACGTGTCTTGTGATAAACTATGTAGGTTGTGGATGGTTTTTAATTTGATTATCTGACATATTGACATTTTTGTCCATGTCACTTTTCTTTGGGTCTTCAGTCTCTATCATGATCTTGGGTTCTTCACTTAATTTGGCATCAACTTCTTCACTTCCACTTCCAGGGGTAGTTTTGTCATTATAGCAAGGTGATGGTATGACCGGAGGAGCTGCACCCTTAATTTCGTCTCTTTCTTATGTTACATCTGAGTGGGTCCCAGGGTCACACAAGTCCTAAGCATATTCAAAACATTAATTAATTTTGTTATGTCATGTCATAAAAAAAAGTAAATAACTAAGATGACATACATTTTCTCTAAACTTATCCTCCCATTCTCTTTGTGCCTTTTCCTCTGCTTCATACCGCGCTATAAATTGAGCTTGACGTTCCAACGCCCTTTCCATGTATTTTTCACTTCCATCATTTTTCGGGCTTTCCCGCCCTTCAATTTGTTCCACGTCATCATGTTATGCCACATCATCATTTGGTGACCTATGTTCTCTATGTCTGATCTGGCGACATGATTTACCAACACGTCTTGGTGAAGAACCGGTTTATGTAAAGCTATTACTACGTCTTCTTCTAGAAGCTTCATTGTATTTTTTTTCAAGAAAACGCGAGGAGGAATTTTTACTTCTTTTTCAGGATAAGCTTCGGTTGATTGCCATGGGAACCCCACATGGTCTTCATATATATATATATATATATATATATAATATATATATATATATATATATATATATATATATATATATATATATATATATATATATATATATATATATATATATATATATATATATATATATATATATATATATATAACATTGATATCACATTCGCAAATAACCACTACAGCTAAGTAACATGGGTTGGCATTGGTGCCTTCGACCCATCGATATGGTGAGGATACTCACCTCAATACGGAACGATAGCTGGCTAGATTTGGACTCCGAATATCAACTCTACACGAACCCTAAAGCAGAAACAATTCCTTAGATTCAACTCAAAATGCCCCAAAACCACTTGCAAGACAAAATTGGACAAAGACTAAAGTCAAAAGTCAAAGTAAACGACTTGAGTTGACCCAACTCGTCGAATTCACTAACGAACACATCGAGTTGGCCAAAAATCCAACCTCTTTATGCATTAAGCTACTTCCATCGAATCCAGGGACTCCCGATCTCAGATCTCTTCCAAAATGATGTCTAGAAGGGTAAAGTTTCCAACTTTACTGTGACATCCCCAAAATGTCAGCCAGAAAAGACCGGTTTCATTTATGCTTTTAAAATATTTCACAGTAAGTCCATTGATTTAAAAAGGGTTGCGGAATTTGTTCCCAAAACAATATATGATAGAATATGGTTTATCAAAGCATTTCTTAAAGAAATGTATTTTCATTATAACAAAACTCGGGATGTCATGTTCCGATACAAACACAAAAGCATAAACATTAAAGCATAGACCTTACACAATTATTTACAACAACATGTCTATAACAAAAATATATTCACAAGTTTTCCAACTTATGCTCTCGCGCCACTACCTGTAATACAAAGAAGCTAAGTGGGTCAGGCTTGGGAGCCTAGTGAGCATATACGGCCTTCAACCCATAATAATAATTATATTAAATTCACCAATCAACAATAACCCGATTACCCATTCCTGTTATCCTCACTTTACGTCCCTAAGATGTGACAACCCTATATTTTCCAAAAGCATTGTAACGCTCACAAGTCAAATACAACTAAATTAACCTTGAAAATAAAGTGTTCAAATATCTAAGTTGGGATGCTTCAAATATTAGATAACCTGTCAAGGTTTCCGAAAACATAAAGAACGCTCAAAACCGGGTTATATTGAAGAAATTATAACCACTCGTATATTTACGACACGAAGTTAAAACATTATTTGACGTAAAAAGTAAAATCTCAATAATGTGCATTTTAGCGATAAGTATCTAAACAAAAATCGTAGATCTCGTTGAAAGGTGAGCGTGCATAAAAAGATCGTCCAAATTGGACCTCGTATGAAGAAGTTACGAATTTTCAAAGTTTCGTAACAGTAGTAGAGGGCTAAAAACTCGAATTGAAGATCGAGTGTTAATTAGCTAACGCAATCTAAATGAGAGTTGAAGATCTCCACGATAGGAGCAAATTGATAAAAAGACAAACGGAAACCGACGCCGAATAAAGAACCTATAAATCTTTAACGAACTTTAGGAGGCCCGGCCTATTTAAAAGTATGTCATTAAAAACAAAGTCAAAACTAGCCGACGGAGTCTAAAGGAAAGTTGTAGAGCATAATCTCACCTACACGTGGATATAAAGAACACGAGAAACGGAGCTCGTACGCGAAAGTTACGGAATTTAGAAGAGGACAGGCCAGATTACGCCCCGCGTACTAGACCCAGAGTCGAGTCCCATCGGCCCGCCCACTCTACGCTTAGCTAGCCAGGAGTCGTAAGCCATGACGCATTGTTACGCCCCGCGTAACCAAGGTACGCCCAGCGTACTTCGTAGGTACGCGCCGCGTACGGGGGTTTCCAGCCCTATAAATAGATGGCATAAGCTCGAGTTTTTGCACACCATTCACAATTCCTCAGTCATTCTCTCATACTTCTAAGCTCCAGAGACCCACCCCTCACCTCGGTTTCCGCACTCGAGCCCCCGACGAAATATTTACGCTGCAAAGATCCCCGAAGAGCCCGATGACGCAACTATCCGCGATCGAAGTTCTACTTAACTCTAGCCTCTCTCTTCAAACTTAACGAGTGAGTTCATACCCCTACTTTTCAATTCATTTTCATGTTTTAGGGGGGAAATACAAGTACATTACACGTTAAAGTATCGTTTTATAAACATAAATGAAATTTCTATCTTCGAATATCGATACAAACAATTTACGTATACAAGAGCTATTATATCACTAAGTTATTTCACCAAATGGAACATACTATCTGAAAAACTATAATGGGTATAGTTAACGAGTCAGTCGTACATTTTACATATACATCTTGAAAAACGAAACACTTTCAAAAGAAGTAAGGTCATTTCATTGTAAATCTATTTATACTAAGCAATGTGAGATATTCAAACTTCAACGTACATTTGTATGCATTTCAAGTCCTGTATTATATACCATAATCTCTTGGAGGGAGAGCGTGATACTTGTGTATAGATCTATACGGGATTGACAATCCCGCACCTAAACTACTAGCTATAGTTAGACCGGCAGGTCTGGGGTGACAAATGTCATAACACTGCAACACCTGAAGAATGTTGTTACAGGCCGTCAGTGTCAATAGTATGGTTATAAAACTCACATAAAAAGTATAAAACAAGATTGATTTACGAGATTCATATGTGCATTGCACTTTCTACATTAGTTTTCATACAAAGTTGTTTTTATCATTCAAGTATAAAAGATACCAACACATTCCAACTTTGGAAACTTTTTGAATCACTTACAAGAAAATATTGGATTTTCTGAAAACCTCGTTTACCAATTTACTACCAAAAAGGATATACTTTTCAACTCGAAACACTCATGAACTCACCAACTTAATTGTTGACACTTTTTCAAAACCACTTGTATTTCTCAGGGAATCAGTGATACAGGTAACTACCAGCTTTTGGGAGAAGGAACACTAAGGATGTTTTTATTATTGAACATTTAACATCATATTGTAATATTCTTTTGATAACATGTATAACGCAACAATATACGTTTTCATATATATATATATATATATATATATATATATATATGATGGTTGTGTTACTTTCTTTACAATATTCAATTGTTGTGATACTACGTGAAGTCATCCACCCCCGAATGTTTCCGCCATTCTGGTTTGGGGGTGTGACAGATTGGTATCAGAGCATTGTTTATAGTGAACTAAGTATATCAAACCACATAAGATATACAAACTATAAATACAACGGGAACCAAAAACCCTCTGACAAAACATTTTCATAGAAATATATTTTCTTTAAATATATACATTTTTACCCGCATGTATCAGTCTCGTATCATGACAAGTTTTTCTAAAAAGTAGTAAGGCAAGTTGCGATACCACGATTGGGCCTTGGGGTATGTAATCAAATCGAGAATAAATATAGCCTGATCAACTATATTTATCCTGGATTTGACCAATGTACGTCGAGGAATGGTCGTAGTAGTCAACAAGCCAAAAACTTATAAAATCTAGATTCGCTAAATTGAAATACTATAAGTCTATTGTTAAAAATAATTGAACGATAAAATATTTGCGCTCCGTAAAAATATAGATAGGCATAGGAAGTCGTTAAATAGAAATTTTTTTCTTATAAAAATCTCATACCTCTATCCCAGTACAGACAAATGGCCGGATTTCCTTTACCGGGAGACCCCTACTACCTAAACCAGGTAACGGCGGCTGGATAGAAGAAGACCCGGAGGAAGACCCAGAGGAAATCGAAGAAGAGGTCGAAGAAGAGTTCGAGGAGGGAGTCGAAGAAGAATTCGAAATCGAAGTCGGAGAAGAATACGAAGTCGACGAGGAGATCGTGGAAATTTCTAGCGGAACAGACTCCGAACCGGAAGTAATCGACCCTCCCATCCCCATCCTCCCGTAATCAGACCATATCAACCGGGACCCATCCCCATCTGGGGAAGCCACCTCTACTACTGGAGCCGTCAGCAAGGTGTACGCCCTCCATTCGGCATGTGTCGGGATTTTTACAACGTCAGTGGGGGAGGCTCAGCTGATCGAGCACTTCCTGTTGTCGTGAATGCTATAGCTAACCAGAACTACCAGGCAGACCAACAAGCAGCCAGAGTTCGCGAGATCAATGCTGCTACCCAAGGTAACGCCGCTGACATCCGTCGTTTGGAAGGACTACATGAGAATACCCAAATCTACACGGGGACACTTCAGAACCAAATGATAACGGCTCTAGATGAAATAAGAGAGATGAAAGAACAACAAGCAGATCTCGAGAGGCGACTGATGGGAGTCAAACGGTCGGATGCCGAATCCAGCTCCAAACGCCACAAGTAGAGCTTGTTCAAGCCCCAACAATTTTGTTATAAAATAGGATTTCGGATAAAAGTTTTTCTTTCTTTTCGCAAATTTCCTTTTGTAACTGTAATCGGAGACCTCTAGGTGGGTCAAATTTTCCCAAGCAAGATATGTAACACACCACAGGTGTGACCAATATATATATATATATATATATATATATATATATATATATATATATATATATACAATATGAAGTACTTCTTTATTATATCTCTCAGAAACTTATGGGTTTAACTAAAAATTTCTATGCCTACCTTGAAACTAAAGTCAAAACAAGTTACAAAATACAACTAACATACTATTGTCCAAACCTTAGAAACTTATAGTATTCATTCT